ACAAATACATAAAAACACTATACTTGTAGGTTAGAAGTCGGCCAACCATTCTGAAAATGTCGTCCTATGAGAAAATCTATACGACCTTCTCTATTTTCTGATATGATTCCTTTTTTGTGTTTTTTTTATTTTTTTTGCAGTCTTTATTTTCCGATATGATTCATTTTTGTGTATTTTTTTTAGTTTTTTTGCAGTCTTTAAATGGTTAATCAGGTGTTGATATGTACAAATAGTAGGGGAGGTGGGGACGCTTTTGATGCATCTTGCAACTGAGGTGGGCCGGTTTGTCAAAAATATCTCGATATGGGTCTGCTTGCCGCTTCACGCGCTCTTTTCCGAAGGGACCTTCCTTTCCATAGCAACATCTACTGCTTTCTCCGTTTTACTCCCTCCGTCCAAAAATATTTGTCATCAAAATGGATAAAAGAGAACATATTTAGATGTATTTTAGTTTTAGATATATCTCTTTTTATCCATTTTGATGACAAGTATTTTTGGACGGAGGAAGTATATCTCAAGCGCATCTCGCATAATTAATAATGGGCAAACAATGTGCAGTGGCTAAGAGCATCTCTAGTGGTTGGCCCCCCAGGAGGCGCTAAAAATCGCCCCCGAGGACGCACCGGTGCTAAACCGCGTGCTGGGGGCGTGATGTCCCCCAGTCGCGGCGCCCACTTTTTTTGAAAATTTAAATTACGGCACAAACACGACGCAAATTCAACCAAACTTCGCCGAGCTCGTTCATATTTAAAAATATTTTACAAAAAAAAAGCTACTAGGCTGCTCCTCGCCGCCCGCCGCTCTTGCAGTTCTACATGCCGAGGAGGCTGTAGAACCGCGTGTAGTTGCCGCCGCCGTCGTCGTCGTCGTCGCCTCCCCGCGACCGCCGTCCATGCTGCAACCCTCCCCCGGTTGGCGCGGTGGGTTGGACGGTTCGGGGGCGTCCTCGTCGTCGTTGCTGTCGAGGATCACGACATCGTGCTCGTCATTGCGCCCACGTTTGCGGGCGGCTATCTCCTCCAGGGCCCGGCGCTGCCGGACCATCTCGTCGCGGAGGTACTCGTCCCGCTTCCACTGTAGGGCCTCCTCTTCAGAGAAGCCGCGCCGGGCTATCTCCTCGTATTCCGCGGAGAGGCCGGGCTCCGGCTT